TACAATGAATAGATTAACCAGGAAATCAAAGAAATTTAAAAATACATGAAAACAAATAAAAATGAAATTATAATGTACAAAACCTTTAGGACGCAGCAAAAGCATTTCTAAGAGGTAAGTTTAGAGCAATACAGGCCTACCTCAAGAAAGAAAACCTCAGGGACGCCTGGGTGGCTCAGTTGGTTAAGCAGCTGCCTTCGGCTCAGGTCATGATCCCAGCGTCCTGGGATCGAGTCCCACATCGGGCTCCTTGCTCGTCAGGGAGCCTGCTTCTCCCTCTGCCTCTGCCTGCCATTCTGTCTGCCTGTGCTCGCTCTCTCTCCCTCTCTCTCTCTGACAAATAAATAAATAAAATCTTTAAGAAAAAAAAAAAAGAAAGAAAAACTCAAATCCTTACAGCTAAAGTAAATAGAAAAAGAACAACAAACAAAACCTAAAACCAGAAAAAGGAAGAAAATAATAAGGATTAGAGCAAAAATAAATGATAGAGAAACTAATAAAATCACTAGAACAATCAATGAAGCGAGGAGTTAGCTCTTAAAAACAAGACAAAACAAAAGTCAATAAAACTGATAACCCCCCAGCCAGACTTACCAAGAAAGAAAGAGAAAGGACCCAAATAAAATCAAAATGGGAGAGAAGAAATAACAATAAACCCCACAAAAATACAATTACAAGAGAATATTAAGAAAAATTACATGCTGACAAAATGAACAACTTAGAAGTGGATAAATTCCTAGAAACATATAACTGACCAAAACTGAAGCAGGAAGAAATAGCAACAAAACTGAATCAATAATTAAAAAACTCCCAACAAACAAAAGTCCAAGACCAGATGGTTTCACAAGCAAATTCTGCCAAAACACTGAAAAAAGAGTTAGTATCTATTCTTCTCAAACTATTCCAAAAAAGGGAAAAGGAAGGAAAACTTCCAAATTCATTCTATAATGCCAGCATTTCCTTGACACCAAAATTAGACATCACAAAAAAAGAGAAAAGATCTCTGATGAACATAAATGCAAATATTCTCATCAAAATACCAGCAAATCAAACCCAACAATACATTAGTAAAATTATACACCATGACCAAGTGAGATTTATTCCTGGGCTGCAAATGTAGTTCAACATTCACAAATCAGTCAACATGACACATCGTATCAATAAGAAAGGATAAGAACCACATGATCATTTCAAAAGACACTGATTGCAAAAATAGTTCAACATTCACAAATCAGTCAACATGACACATTGTATCAATAAGAAAGGATAAGAACCACATGATCATTTCAACAGACACTGAACAAAACATTTAACAAAGTATAACATCAATTCATGATAAAAATCCTCAACAAAACAGGTTTGGAAGGAACATACCTCAACAAAATAAAGGCCATTAATGAAAAACCATAGCTAATATAATTTTCATTGGAGACAAACTGAGAGCCTTTCTCCTAGGGTCAGGAATAAAACAAGGATCAAAACTAGGATTTCCCCTAGGGTCAGGAACAAAACGCAGCACCTTTATTCAACATAGTACTGGAAAACCTAGCCATAGCAATTGGACAACAAAAAGAAATAAAAGGCATTAAAAATCACCAAGGAAGAAGTCAAACTTTCACTCTTTGCAGATGACATGATACTACATAAAGAAAACCCAAAAGACTCCAACAAAAACCTGCAGGAACTGATTAACAAATTCAGAAGAGTGACAGGATACAATATCAACCTACATAAATCTGTTGCAGTTCTACACACCAATAATGAAGCAACAGAAAGAGAAATTAAGAGAACAATTCCATGTACAACTGCACCAAAATTAATAAGATACTTAGGAATAAACCAAGCCAGAGAATTCTGAAAACCATAAAACAATGATGAAAGAAATTAAGGATGATATAAAGAAATGGAAGGACATTCCATGCTCATGAATTGGAAGAACAAACATTGTTATTTTTATTTTTTATAAACATATAATGTATTATTAGCTCCTGGGGTACAGGTCTGTGAATCGCCAGGTTTACACACTTCACAGCACTCACCATATCACATATCCTCCCCAATGTCCATAACCCCACCACCCTCTCCCTGCCCTCCTCCCCCCAGCCACCCTCAGTTTGTTTTGTGACATTAAGAGTCTCTTATAGTTTGTCTCCCTCCCGATCCCATTTTGGAAGAACAAACATTATTAAAATATCGATACTACCCAAAGCAATCTACACATTTAAAGCGATCCCTATCAAAATACCACCAGTACTTTTCACAGAGCTAAAACAATCAATCCAAAAATTTTTATGGAACCATAAAAGACCCTGAATAGGCAAACTTATCTTGAAAGAGGAAAGCAAAGCTGAATGCATCACAATTCTAGACTTCATGTTATATTACAAAGGTGTAGTAATCAAAGCGGTATGGTACTGGCACGAAAACAGATGCAGAGATAAATAGGATAGGATAGAAAATCCTGAAAGAAATCCACAATTATGTGGTCAATTAATCTTTAACAAACCAGGAAAGAATATCCAACAGGAAAAAGACAGTCTCTTCAACAAATGGTGTTGGGAAAACTGGACCACTTTCTTATACCGTACACAAAAAATAAACTTAAAATGGATTAAAGACCTAAATGTGAGACAGGAAACCATAAACATCCTAGAAAAGAGCATATGACACTGGTCATAACAACTTTTTTCTAGTTAGGTTCCCTAAGGCAAGGAAAACAAAAGCGAACTATTGGGACTCCATCAAAATAAAAAACTTCTGCACAGCAAAGGAAACCATCAACACAACTAAAAGGCAACCTATGGAATGGGAGAAGATATTCTGCAAATAGCATATCCAATAAAGGGTTAGTATTCAAATTACATAAAGAACTTATAAAACTCGGCACCCCAAAACCAAATAATCCAATTTAAAAAAATGAACAGACATTTCTCCAAAGAAAACATAGAGATCTCCAGAAGACACATGAAAAAATCCTCTCTATCATTCATCATCAGGGAAATGCAAATCAAAACTATAATGAAATAGCACCTGACATCTGTCAGAACAGCTAAAATCAAAAACACAAGTAACAAGTGTTGATGAGGATGTGGGGAAAAAAAGGAATCATCTTGCACCATTGGTAGGAACGCAAACTGGTGTATCACTGTGGAAAACAGTATGGAGGTTTCTCAAAAAGTTAAAAATAGAACTACTCTATGATACAGCAATTGCACTAGTGGATATTTACCCAAAGAATACAAAAACATCAATGCAAAGAATGTAGGCACCTCTATGTTTACAGAGGGATTATGCACAATAGCCAAGATATGGAAGCAGCCCAAGTGTCCACTGATTGATGAATGGGTAAAGAAGATGTGGTATGTATGTGTGTGGATATATACACACACATATAAATATACATAAAAACATACACATATATACAAATATATAGTGAAATATTATTCAGCCATAAAAAAGAAAGAAATTTGCCATTTGCAATGGCATGGATGGAGTTAGAGTATAGTATAATGCTAAGTGAAATAAGTCAGTCAGAGTAAGACAAATGCCACATGATTTCACTCATATATGGAATTTAAGAAACAAAACAAACAAGCAAAGGGAAAAAGAGAGAGAAACCAAGAAACAGACTCAAATATAGAGAATAAATTGATGGTTACCAGAGGGGAGATGGGTAGGGAGATGAGTGTAACAGGTGATAGGGATTAAGGTGTGCACTTACCATGTTGAGCACCAGGTGATTAAAATAAAAACTTAAAAGAAATGTGTATATTTTTCCCTATCCTTCAAAGAATAATGTAAAAGAGTGATCAACATGTGTTATTTCAAAGAATTGTATAGAAATATAAAAACTAGACTTTTAAGTTCTGATACTGAAAGATCACTGGCAGCATCTTATGTAGAAACTTTTATAATTTCACTTACCCATGAAATGATAAATTTGTGAAACAAAGTTGAATTAAAGGTATCAATCTAAAACATTCCTTTTTCCCATTTCTACATTATATAGGTCTTTTAAACCCTCTCCTCAGTTCCAACACTCCCACCATGATTGCCAAATCCTTCTCTGCAATTACTTTATTACGTTTCTTTCTTACAATTCTATTATACCATCACTACCTCATCACCACCATCACAACAACAGTAGCAGCTCCTTTTTAAGTGCTATATGCCAGGCACTGCTAAGAGAGCTTTACGTGAATTAAGTCATTTAATCCTTGAAACACCCTCTGAGAAAAGAAATATTATCCTTAACTATATACATGAGACAATGAAGCACAGAGAGGCTAAGGTAGTAAGTGGTAGCACTGGTATTTGAATCCAAACAGTGTTAACCTTCTTTTAGAGTTGTCTCTCAGAAATCACCTCACACCTCCAAAATTCTGCTTCCTGGTTAAAGGATATCACTTCTCTCCTATTGGAAATTCATTCAACATGATGAAACTAGATAATCACTGTCATTAGAACATTACCCTGTTCAATAATCTACTTTACCTAAAAATTAGTTATAAAAATCAGACCAAATGTGTACAATCCAGGTATTCAAGATTTTTCTCAATCTATATACCTATCCTCCCTTTCTGACCTCATTCCCCATTCAGCCCATCACATGAACACTAAGTAAGAGGTATTCAGAGCTATATTCTTATCCTCTCACAGGGCCTAATATAATACCTGGAACATAACAGGTGCCAAAAGTGTTTGCTAGATTAAGGACTAAAAGGCTTTATGATTTTTCAGATACCTAGCTGTAGGTTACTGTAATGCTAAGGTTCATAGTATTCACAAAGACATTTTGTTATTCCTTCTTAATAAGACAGTGTTAATTGTTTTAAAAATTCAAAAATTCACCCATGACAAAATAAGGCAATTCAGAGCACTTAAATCATAGTTTTTTTCCTATTTTCTTTAGCAAAAGAGGAACAAGTGGCAGTTATAGCTAACAATGTGATTAAAGAAATAGAAGTATTATTGATATTACCAAGAATTTTATTACTAACCTGTTGAGGGGTTATGGTATCTCTATAACTTGGTAAAATTTTTAGGGTGACACTTCCACTAATATTTTTCAATAATTCTTGTAATTCCTTTGGATTGTTTCCAACTTCATGACCATTGACTTCTTTAATGATATCTCCCACATGAAGTAGACCTTGTCGATCTATCATTCCTCCGTGAAGGATTCGGGCGATTACCAGATCATTATTTTCAACCCTAAACGTTACACCCTAAAGGAAATAACAGAATTATCTAAAATAATGATTTTAGATTATTAGGAAGAAATCTTAAATATTCATTAATATGAATATGTAAGAAAATAATTCTAAAAGTAGATGAGTTAATTGTTCCTACTTTCCCCCTGTTCTCTCCCGTGTCTCAATATTTTAATCTCATTAGACCACAGGCAACTGTGATGACACATATTACCTCATAAAAACAGGACTTTCAGGGAATTGCATTCCACAGGATAAAAAGCTCAAAGGAGGAGAAAAAGTATTTATGCATTCTGATAACTTGTTCTAAGCTTATCATTTTTTCTGATAGTCAGGACCGAAAAATAATAATTTTTGCATCGAATAGAAAACTTCACTACTTACAGACTCCTACCATGCCTTCAATTTTTAATAACTTTCTTTTGTGTTTTGATACTATCATTAGCAAGCAACTTGAGTTCATTTCTTCAAAGGATATAGGAAGAAATGGGGTAGTTATGTTTTATAATTTTTGCTGCCCATTAGCCAGCTTCTTCAGGCCTCTATTTCAGCTAAACTTTTTATTTTGGCTTAATTTTATATGCTATATTAAGATGAGAGAGCATCAGTTGTATATTTCTATACAAGCCAAAAAGCACTGATAAAACAAATAAACATGAATTGAAGTTTTTATAATAATACAAATTATGAAAAAGAAAAAAAGATATGATTGAGCCACAAATAGGTCAGATTTCAGATTTTAAAAGGCACGGATTTATCTACTCACCAATGGCTCCCCAGCTCTTTTGTGAATACCAAGAATACGAATGGCATCTACCGGTAATAACTGATTATTGATAGAAGAATTATTCATTTCTGGGCTTGACGGAGGTGAATCATAACATTTTGATGCCACAATATCATGGGCCTCCAAGAGTGACTGTAAGGATTCAAAAAAGCCTGTGGTTATTAATTACTGATGGAATAAGTTCTTAAAAATAACAGTCCGTTATTCCAGTGGAGTACTAACACCTTCCGAGGCACACATTATTAAATTCTTAAAAGATGAGGTAAACCAAATGCGCCAGAATCTTTTAAAGAAATATAAATATATATAGTACACTAACATAAACAATATTGTATTTCTTGTTTTAAAAGATTTGAAGACTCCTGATAAGAGTTTTATGACTTCTTAAAAAAAGTGACAAGTTCAGTGGAAACTGAACCTAGATTTGCAAGTGTGGTACACTGAAGGCACTGGAATTCACTGCCACCACTGTCATCAACATTATCATATTTCCTATTTATCATCAATCCCTATTTATTAGGTATCATACAAATTCAAATGGTACAGGGGCATCCGGACAACTCAGTCGGTTAAGCGTCTGCCTTCTGCTTAGGGCATGATTTCAGGGTCCTGATATAGAGCCCTTCATCAGGGCTGCTCAGCAGGGAGACTGCTTCTCCCATTCCTTCTGCCTGCTATTGTGCCTACTGGTGCTCTCTTGCTCTCCCTTTCAGATAAATAAATACAATCTTTAAAACAAACAAACAAACAAACAAAAAACCAAATTTAAATGGCACAGACCCTAATTTTTACTCTTTTTATGTTAGTAATACCATATATTTTTTACACATATAAAAGTCTGCTAAAAAGATATCCAATAGAAAAATGGATACAGCATCTTATATCTTATATCAGTGATGAGAGATTTTATATTACTGACAAAGGCTTTAGTTTATAAAACATATATTTTAAGAGGAAAAAAACCCTAATGAGCTAGTAATGGTCCTGAATATAATTTTACGTCCTACATTTATGATGTATGTGTTACCATCATGGATGACTTTGATCTACTTTCTAGGAATTTCTTATAATTTTTAAATATATTTATTTTAATTTTTCACTTACACTATAATTGTGTATGCTCAACAATAAACAATAAACAATAAAATTTAAAAAAAATTTTGAGTGGATGGAGCTCAAAAACAAATCAAAATAGAAAGAAGGGAGAAAATGTCAACAAATTAGAACAGAAGCAATCAGGATATGTGTAATTTCTGGTCATTTCATGAAAATATGTTGTAAGAGACTAAAGAAAATTTCAAAAAGAAAAAAAATCACAAGTCCACATGTAAGGATTATTCCTATAAATGCTAGACGTTGCTCAAATCTCTAACCTGGGCTGCTTAGCTTCCACTCTATGCCTTCTTAGCCAGAATTATACTCCTGTGACTTGAACCACTACTTAGATGCTGATAACTTCCAGCATCTCTCATGAGATGAGAGTTCTCATCCAGAACTCTCATGAGCTTCAGATTCATAGACTAAAAATCTGTCTATAACCATTTAGTCATGAAAATTTGAAAATCAAAGAGTAAACATGGTAGAGGATTGAAACATACTAAATGAAAAATCTGTAACTGCACAATGCTATTTAAAAAATAGCAGAAGGACTGAAAAACTCATCTGTTGCCATTTAAGACTGCTATTTTAAACAATTCTTTACTTTAAAAACTGGTAAAGGGAAGGATCAGACACTTCCCTGATTTGTCAGTATGAAATGCATTATGGGGTAACTAAATAGTCCAGTTGATGAAGAAAAGCTCTACTTTATATAAGAACAGCAGCTACAAAATGTAGAATGATAGAACCTGGAAAATGTCATTTTGAAGCCTCTAAAGAAAATACTGATTCAGGCAAGGATTAATTTGTGTTTATAAGTAGATAAATGATTAAACAGGAAATAGCATTTGTATGCTAGAATAATAACACACTAGATTATGTCCTAGTCAAAAGTATTTCAAAGGAGGGATTAGATTGTCTATGCCCTTATTCAAGGGACTAATCTCAGCAACGATACTGGTGGGCCAACCAGGTGTCACATATCTTCTGATGTACTTTAATTCATATTAACATTACATCACTAATGATGCATTCTAGCTCCAAATAGTTAACTTGAATCATCCTTTTAGATAGAAGTTCTGTTCAAAGGAAATAGAGGGGGTAACTCTCTATTATCTATTATCTAACAACAAAGCGAAGAGACAACCAGATTATCCAGGAAGTGGGACATTCTTTAGGGCAATGGTCCGGTCTCTTAATAGGTCAATATCATAATCAAGGGAGAAAGGATGGTCCATCCAAATGCCACACACGAATCTAGGTTGGAAACCCATAGTACAAAACAGCTATAAAGAATATTTTGGTGTGAAATGGAAATGTTTGAATATAGTATGTGTATTACATGAGATTGAGATCCACTGAAATGGCCAAGTGGAAATCAATGACTGAAAAAAAAGGGTAAGTTAAAAAATAGCTTGTACAAAAGGATCTCAATCAGTAAAGAAAAAAATATGTACATTTATGCATAGAGAAAGTATAGAGGAATATGTACTAGGATAGTACAGTAGATCTGGGTAATAATGCAATATCTTAATTTTTAAATTTTTGCTTGCCAGTATTTTCTAATTATATTTATGAAACTATATAAATTTATATATTTATTAAATTTTATATATTTATTAAAGATACACAGCATGTCTGAAAGCTCTATCAGATGCTTCTGAAGTATCACAAACTTAACAAGGCTGGTTACCTGAATATTAACATGTCAATTTCTTCTAGAGTGTTCCTTATCTCAGTGAGTGCCATCAATTATTTGTTAGAAACCCTACCCTTATCAACTTCCCACATCTCTCTTCTGCAATGATCACACGTAATCAATCACCAAGTCCTGTTGATTTTACTGCTTAAAACTTGAAAATCTTCACATTTTCTACTCTCAACACTGCTGCAGTTTCTTGCCCTAGTGCTTAACCATGATGCTCCACAATCAGCCCCCTCTCCCCGTGTAATACCTCCTACTCTCCCCTTTCTTGGTTTCCCACTGTCCTCAGGGTAAAGTTCAAATGGCTTACTGTGCCCTATAAGGCCTTCATCAACTGGCACAAGCATATAGGATGTCTCTGATACATGTCCATTATTTTGTATGTTGAGATACTGATTCATGGAGCAACGAACTCACTATAAACCTTTGTATTTTACAGTCACGTTGTTGAAGAGTCACAGAAAGTCCTTGGAAAAAACCAAAGAGGTGTTGCCATTTTGATTTTCAATGCTAAGATTTATAGTGAAAAGAACTTTATATTCTTCTATCCCAGCATCACTTACAGAACAGTCCATTCTTTCTCCCCTAAAATGTAGTATCTCTATCATAAATCAAATTGTCATATACAGGTATATGTACTTCTGGGGTTTTTTATTCTCTTCCATTGGTCTATTTTTCTAATACTGTCCCAACACCACACTTAATCACAGGTTAATAAGAAATCTCTCCCCCACTCCCCTCCACTTTCTCTTCTAAAACTGACTCTTTGTTAAACAGATTTACTTTTCACTGCTACAGACCAAAGCTTAAATTGCACTTATTTTTTTTTGCAGCTATGGAGGAAATGTTATGGATTAGTTTCTATCCTCACACAGTTCTCTTTTATTTTATTCCAAGGTCATTGATTGCATCTCAGTCTCAGAAGCAATACTGCAATAGCTTTCATAAGAAAGGCTGTGAAACAGTGGTAGTGAGGAAGGAAAACCTATTATCACAGTAAGAAAAATGTCTCCAGCATGTGGTCTGGTGGTGAATCAAGGCTGATTTTAATTACACAATGGAAAATCCATTCTGATGTATTTCTGCTATACATTTATGTAGTGTGTTATTAGTTGTGGGTGTGTCTGATTTGATATCCTCAGTATTTCAGGATATTAAAATACTTAAGTTGGAATTTACATATTTACAAACTATGGCTCTAAATAATCTTAAATAAATCACCATAAACTGGAATTTAACTACTAAAAGAGAATACTTTGGGGATAAAGGGCACTTGGGAAGAAGAATAATACGCAAAATACCTGGAAGTGAGGCTCTTTGAGGATTCCAACCAGCTCTGCCACATTTTCATCCACATTTATTAAGGGAGTGATATCTTCAAGAATTTCATTGACTAATTCTAAGTTATTATCACTGACAGCTTCTAGTTTTGAGTCTTCTAGCCTCTCATGAGCCTGAAAAGATAACAGTATAATTAAGTCATAGCACATATTGTTTTGCTCCAGACCATGGTTTTCTTCTTTTCATAAAGAAGACTTAAAAAGATACTACTTGAAAGTTTGATTTACTGAAACCAAATGTAATATTCCAATCAGAGGCAATATATAGATTTTGTAGTAAATGTTATCAAGAAATATAATAAATCTTGGCTTGTGTCCCTATTCTGAAAGTCATGGAAAACTTGTTTAACCATGAAAAAACTATAGTCAGATAACAACTGAAAAGAAAAAAAAAACATTTCCTACCCAATAGAATTTCCTAATGACTTTCTGGTCTAGGCTCAAACTCTAGAGGATACTGCTTGTGATTCATGAACATAAATGATTATTTATTATTTAATAAAAATTTTTTAAAAAAAGAATGTAATTATTACATGGACTGCCATTAAAAAATAATAAAAATCATTTGGGGAGCACCAAATCTGAAAACTACCATTTTCCAATTTTTGAAAATCAGCAAAATAAGTCAATTTAGGGAAGTCAGCTCTTGAACTGGACTTTGAAGGACTGTTTGATTTCATTAGGGGAGTGATCACCTTGTGTCTCTTTATCTTAAGCCACTTTTTTTTTTCTTAATCTCACCATCTTTTCCACGGAAAATGGACCATGAATCACACTGTCACAGGAAACAAGTAGCCCTATTTAGCCTCAAATAGTGGGAATAAAACAGTTTTAAATTCAAACTGAAAATGAACATTAAGCAGTCTCCCTCTTTAAGTGCTCTTTGTTTTTCTAATGAATGGTTGCTGTCCGATTTTGAAGGCAGGCAAAGCCATAACTGTTAAGACTTAATGTATAAATGAAACCAGGTAAGATGACAAATCTTGTATTTAGTATTTTAAGATCTATGTCGGTAAGTGCTCAGGAAAAACCCAAGTTTCAAGTAGTAACAGTATCAATTAAACTTTATCTGTACCTATAATACTTTAGCTGTTATATCTACCATAGAGTGGATCCTTCAAAGACAAACACATGATTTTTAAAATGCAATTTTTTTCACTTAAGTTTTTTTTTTTTTTTTGAAGGGCCTGAAGCTCGGGGAGTTAGTTATTGTCACAAGAGTCACTTGCTGAGTGCCCCTTTCCAGCCAGACCCTGTGTCAAGCCCCTGACATATATTGTCTCATTTAATCTTCTCAGTAACACCAATGCAAAGTAGATGTTATTGGGTTCATTTGACAGAACGGGAACTGAAGTTTACAGAGCTTAAGGAAGCTGTGGCAAGTCAGAATTCAAGGGCAAGGCTGTCTGATTTCAAACCAGTGATTTTTTTTTTTTTTTTAATTCATTTGAGACAGAGAGAGAGACAGAGAGAGCACAGGCAAGGGGAGAGGGAGAAGCAGACACCTTGATCAGGGAGTGTTTAAGTGAAAGGGGGGCTATATTAAGCAACATTTTTAAGAAATGCCTCAGGAAAAAAAAATTTTTAAGTCATATGAGATGACAGAAGAAATTATAACTGTTATTAAACAAAGAAAAATGTCAAAAGACCAAATGTAATTTTGAGAAAGGAGTTATTATTAGATTTAGATAAGAAAAAAATTAAGATTAGAAAATGCCATAAAGAATGAAATGGGTAAATCTGTAACTTTCTGAAAGTTTAATGTAAGCCTAATAAGGATAAAATGATGACACTCAACATATACCATAAAATGATTATCACCATTGGAAAAAAACCTAAAATAATGGACATAACTAGCTATTAACTCTTATAAAACAAGCTAGAATTGCTTATTGCTTTAATACAAATATTTGCTGTTAACAAATATTTAATTTAGCATCGTTAACCTTGCAACACTCCATTACTCTTATGGAAGTAGAATAAAGTTTAAGGAAAGAAAGGAAATAAAGAAGCTGAACATTTATTGAGGGCTGTTTGTGTATGTGTCAGGAACTATATTCTCAGTGCAGTGTAAGTGAGTCTGTATTAAGCAAAGGTAGGTGTATTGTTGTTATCCTCACCTTGCAAACTAGATGCTGATGCAAAATAAGATAAAGTGATTTGCTTGAATCTACACTACTGCTAAGTGCAGAGTCGGGTAGTCTAATACCAAGGCTTGAATGCTTACCTACTAAGCTTTTTTGACTTCATCACTATACAGACAGCCACTGAAATATCATACTGTGGTTAATTATTCCATCTGTTATATATTATTCTAATTCATTTAACTCTGAGATTTACTCTCATTGACTGCTAGTTGATTTGTTGCTTCTTAGCACTTTCTTCTAGTTCAGATGTGTCATTCTGTTCTACTGAGTCTATCCCTACAGTTACTTTGTACTCCTGTGGTTCAGAATACTACCCCCGTCCCTTCAACCTGCACCCCTGTACTCCAAGTAAGAGCTATAAAGACCATCTGTTTCTCTAGGAAAGAGATAAGGAGTACCTTACAATTTTCAGGTACTGTATCAATATATTTTCTATAACATCCTCTGGTCATGTAATATATCGATTCAATTCAGACAAGTAAAGAGCAGAAATGATCACTGATCTGAGAACTCTAATATAGCTCCCTTTGTTCCTATGTTCATTTACCTTACTGCTCCCAAATTGGGTGAGGACATGTGGGAAGGTGGAAAGACCTACCAGAAAGAGGATGTCAAGGAGAAGGGCAAAATTATGTTATAAAAACAAACACACCCAAAGTTTTTTTCATACCAAACTACAGAGACTGGTGCTATAGTAGGAAAGAATCTCACTATACAATAAGAAGTTCTCAGGGAAAAAATTAAAAGGCTTTTTAGTGAAACTGCAGCTATTATTATATAACACAGAAAGCCAATTTCTAAAATATAGTTGGGTTCTATCAAGATCAACTTTAATTTTTCCAAAAAAGCAAAAGCAGGTCCATATTTGTTAATATGTAGATTTTTAAGCTCGAAGATACTGTGAAAGAAGTTGGGACCTCTAGTCAATTTAAAGTCATAATTTATTTAGTAGATTTTAAGAGGCAAGTGCCAACTTGAATTTAACAGATAAGACCTCACCGCAAAAAAGAAAAAAAAGGACAAAAGGAAATAGTGAAAATTATCCAGAAGGAGAGATGAATCATAAGCTATTTGAATGAATGGGTCTAGCATCCTTTAAGACACTATGAGAAAGCTAGCATAATAAAAACATATTCCACCTGCCACAAGTGGTTGAAAGAACATGCTATGACTGGCTTCATAGAACACTTGGAGTTGATACAAATACGGCCTAGCCTTCTTGTATGTCCAGATCCGAGAGTCCTATTTACCACTGCACCTTAGAAAAATGAACTGCAGAGAAGAAAAAGTTCTTTCAGGACTTCTAGGTATTTCTTCTAAGCACAGTACAGCCATGCTTGCAAGCAAAAAAAAAAAATTTTTTTTAACAAGTTGTGGGCTGTAACTAAAGTGAAAAATACTATCATTTATTTTGTTATATCTAATACTATTATCATTATGTGTAAAACCTTGCCTTTTGTCCTCAAAAGGACGAAAATATAAATTTTGTTTCTATCTTTGAATATGGCTAAGTATGTGGTAGTTGCCCATTAAATGTTTCTTGGAAAAGTAAATGGGAAGTAAGTTTTGCTGTGGTCAGTCATCCCCTTCTATTCTAAAGAGTTTAGGAAGAGAAAGATCAAGAGAAGCCCATGAATAGTCAAAAATATAAATAACCTGAGCAGAAAATAGAAATGAGACAGGGAATAGAAAAGTCAATTTCTATTTTGCTTCCGCATCCATTATATCAAAGAGAATGAGATTTGTTCTGAATAAAAAAATGGATGAAGGGGCGCCTGGGTGGCTCAGTGGGTTAAAGCCTCTGCATTCACTCGGGTCATGATCCCAGGGACCTGGGATCGAGCCCCACATCGGGCTCTCTGCTCAGCGGGGAGCCTGCTTCCTCCTCTCTCTGCCTGCCTCTCTGCCTACTTGTGATCTCTATCTGTCAAATAAATAAAATCTTAAAAAAAAAATGGATGAAATAAGTATAAATAAATTAGAATTGAATTCTCTAATAAGTAAAGAACTTGCCAGAAATCTAGTTAACAAAAGGAGTTCAAATTCTTAGATTAATTATATATTGAAGTACTCAGGAAGCTTCTAAATAACATTGCCGAGCCACTCTTAGAGTTATCTGTGGAAAAAGAGAACCACACAGATGCCAAAAAAACTAGAAATGGGAATCTGTTATACTTTTTAAAATGAAAAAGACCTTTTTTCTTTTTTTTAAAAGCTTGGCTATAACAGTATTCAGAAAAAATATAAAAGAATACTTTTTATAATCTCTGAGTGAGAAAGACCTTTCTAACTTATGCTGCAAAATCTGGAAGCTATAAACTAAACAAAAAAGGCCCAATAAAATTAACTACATTTAAAAATTTAATTTCTTCTTGTCAAAAACCAGCAAAGTCAAAATACAAATGACAAACCAGGGTTAAAATACTTACAAATCATATTATAGACCAAGGGCTAATTTTCTTATACATAAAGGAAGTTTTAGAGAGAGAGAGACGGAGAGAGAGAGAGAGAAAGCATGAGCACTAGCAGGGATAGGAAGAGGGACAAGCACACTCCCGGGTAAGTGGGGAGCCCAACTTATCCCCAGGATCCTGAGATCATGACCTGAGCGAAGTCTGAGGCTTAACCCACTGAACCACCGAGACACCTCTACAGAAAGGACTTCTATAAACCAGTAAGAAAAAGATCAACACATAAATAGGCAAATGATATGAACAAGAAATATACAGAAAGGAAATTCAAATACCTCTTAAACATATGAAAAGATATACAACCACCTTCATGATAAGAAGTACAAACTAAATATATAGTACTATATATTTTTTTTAATTAGATAGGCAAGGATAAAAGTTCTGGTAACGTACCATGTTGGTGAAAATACAGTAAAAGACAGACATTCTCATACATTTTTTTTCCCCTGGTGGGAACATACTAGTGAGCAAAGTACATATTCATCTGAAGCGCACA